CCCGTTGCTTTGAACTATCTCCTCAACAACTTTTTTCTCAATCTCATACCTTTCGTTGCTCAAAGGAAATGTGAGCAGTCTATGAACAAGAAATTGTAGTCCCGCCATTTTTTGTTCTGGGCAATGATGAGAGCTCGTGTTCTTTCTATATACATCAAACTCTTATCAATATTTTTAATAACTAGTAGGTATATTCAAGAATGATACTTCTAAGTTATTTTCAATTTCATACGTGAGTTTTATACTTGCAAATCTGTTGTTCATACAAAATTCTCTACCGTACTCATATTCGTATCGAAAATGACAAATACATCATCCACGTACCGGATCCATGTTCGTGAAAAGTAATCCAACTCTTTCATTGCTTCCATTTCAAATCTGCTCAAGAACAGAGAGTAGCCATGAAAGGAGACAATGGGTTTCCCATTGCCATACCCTCGTTTTGCCCAGAAAAACAGTTGACGAACTGGAAGCAATTTTTGTATTTCGTATTTTGCTAAATATGTGGCTAAAAGCAACGGGATGGATACCCGTTGCTTCAGCATAGTGGATAAATGAATTAGAAAACAAAAATTTAGAATAGAGAAAGATTCAAAATTAAAAGTGCTTCCATATGAACCCAAATATACCAATGGGTTGGTCCGAACATTCCAAAAATTGAATATAGGAGTTGCTATCAAAACTGCAAGTACACTTCAACAAGTATTGGGCAGTCCGAAAGACAAGACGTTGAAAAAAGAAAAGTCTGGGATTTACGAAATAAGCTCCGAAGATTGTGATAATAAATATGTTGGTCAAACAAAACGGACTATGTTAGCTCGCTACAAGGAACATGTTTCGCATGTTCGGTTTCATAGACATATATAAGAAAGGTGGATATTGAGTGAGATGGTATTATCAATGATTTTCTCTGATTATCTGCGAGCGCTTTCGACAGCTGGTCGTGCTATCATCTTCTAGGCACTCTTCTATCTGAACGTGTTATCCTGTTGTGTGTCTTTTCATACGGTCCGAACGCCTCAATACAGGTACTTCTGTTGCTTTAGGTAAATTTGCCTGTATTTGGATTACATCAGGTACTATTCTTTGTGTTGAATCTTCTCCAGGTTCATTGCTTCTAGGAGTGTATATTGATTTGTTTAATATACTGAATGTTAGGTCCTGTTGTGTTTTGATTTGATTTTTGACTGTTAAATTTATGGATGTTTAAGTTTACTCAAATGTCCATGCGGTTACCCTTATTGACTTGTTTTATGAGTTTTATGTTCTCTGGTGGAAAAGTTATGTTTGTTTTGTATGGCGTGTGTTGCGAGGTTTGATTTATATACTATTGGGTTTATGTATCCTTTTTGTGTTCATGGTACCTTTGGATCAGTTTTTTCTTGGTTTGACCGATATAGAATTTGTTGCCGTCCGAGCATTGTATACTGTATATCCCGTTTTCGTTTTTGTCTTCTTCTTTTTGATAGCTGTTTATTTTTTGCGTTATTTTCGTGTTTGGCTTGTATGTGATGTTGATGTTCAATGGCTTGAAGATGTTTGTTAGTTTTTTGGTTTGGTGTCCTACGTACGTAAATGCTGTCCATCGTTCTGTTGTTTTGTCTGTTGGGTTGGCTTGATCCTTGTTCTGTATTTTTTGTTTGATTCTGTTTTCTAATTTATCTATTGTCTTTTGGGTGTATCCGTTTTCGTTTGCTATTTGGTATATGATTTTCCGTTCTTTGTTCCGGGCTTCTATATATGAATGCGTAATATGCAGCCATTTTTTGTGATGGTGGATGGTTTGAACTTGCAGGTATGGTGGAGTTTGTTTGTGTAGGTTTCCTTTATATTGTCATTTGAAATTGTGTTTTGTTGTGGTTATATCCGATGGTTATATCCAGGTAGTTAAGTTTCGAGTTGTTTTCTTCCTCAATGCTGAAAAATAGTTTTTAATTTATTTCGTTAATTTCTTTTATTTGATTTATTCTTATTCCATTATTTTGTGATATGTACAGTCCATCGTCAACGTATCTGAACCATCCTCCTCTTTCATCATCTGTTTTTATTATTGTTAAGATTTTCTCATCTATGGTTTGCAGGTATATTTCGGATATAATGCTAGATAGCGGGGATCCCATCGCTAGTCCATCTGTATGTTTATACATTTTTCCTTCAGATTCGAAATAATTTTGATTTAGTATTGTATTTAGACTGTGTTCCATTTGGTTAATGTAGGTTTTGTCTATGTTTTGATGTTTTTGTTTATGAGATATGATGTTTATACTTTCGTTGAGTGGTATGTTGGAGTACATGTTTTTTATGTCGAATGAGAATAGTTTAGTGTTCGGGCTGACTTTTGTCTGTGAGTTCCATTGAATTTTTTACGCTGTGGTTGTTGTTCCTGTTGATTTTGTTTTTCAGTTCGTCGGCTATGATTTTTGAAATTTTGTATGGAGGTGCTTTGGTAAAATTGATAACCGGTCTTATAGGTTTATTTTCCTGATATATCTTTATCTGTGCGTTGAGTTTCGGTGCTTTTGGGTTGTCGACAAAATTATAAATACCTATGTAGAAATAGAAAAATCTCACACTCCTTCTATTTATATGTATTGTTGCTTAGTCCATGCTTGTAAAAAAGTCTCAGGAAAAATAAAGTTTTGTATTGTATTGTAAGTATTTTGAGAAATATACAGCTGATAGAAGTATTTCATCGAAGTTTCAATAAGAGCGAGTGCTTCAGACTCAAAATTTTTGGAATTATCTATAATTGTGAATTCGGTTAAATTTTTTGATTATTTTTATAACAGTTATGGATTATTACATATGTTTGTAATAATCCATAGAAATGTCAATCTAGAAAAAAGAATACGGGTGAAATTGAAATCATTGTGTTGGAGATAAGCCCCACCAACTCCTGTAATGAACCATTCTTTATCGCGATATCGGTTTTACTGCTACGCTGCCATTTCATATGCATTCTGAAGAAAGGAATATCACTGGATTTCACTAGTTCGGACTTCCATTGTCTACTATATAAAATGATTTATAGACAATGGAAGTCCGAACTAGTGAAATTCATCATGAAACATTGTCAATCACCTTCAAACAAACGAATATCACCGGAATTTTCATATGAGCGTTATTTTTTGGAAAGAAAATTCAATGTTTTGAATAAGTAATATTACCTACAGGAAGTGTTCCAAGCAATACAACAAAATTGTCATGAAACGAGTAAATGACAATATTCCTCTGAAACGGAATGTATTAATTCAGAAAATCACCGGAATTTTGAAACATCACTGTACGATGGTACCAGGCATAACAGGCATTTTAACATGTACTATAAATTAAACAATTAAATTGTTTCTGGAAAATCATTGTTCAGGGATTTCCGTATGTTTGTTACAAAAAAATGAGCAAAATACATCTTATAGTAAATTTACAGGATTACCTACTATGTTTTCGCAATTACAGGAATCTGCTCTTCGGTGGTTCATCAAAAAGCAGCATGATTCACTGAGTAACTAGAATGTGAGCAACTTTTGAATAATAAACAAAAGTGTAGGACGTAAAAGTGGTGATATTTTCCTATTCAGGTAATGTGGAGCTCATACTAAATAAATATAACCTAATAAAATAATTTGAAATCTCTATTCATGAAAGAGAGATAGGTGGAAAAACCTGTTATTGAAATATTCAATTCAGTTGAGTGAAAATCAATGTGAGCGATGAAACATAAATAAGCAGCTATTTCCCCATCTATGTCTTTCAAAAATTTGCCGTGATTGATAGGTATAACGTATGTTCAATCAGTCGAATCATCTTCTGAACGAGAATGATACACAATAGTGGTTGAAGCCATGATGACATCAAGATTGTTCTGAAAGAAAGATCTTGTTCGATTCTATACTGGGTACTAGGACACTAAGACACCACAGGCAACGAAAGACCTAATCAGTGTGCCAGGCATATATCATTACCACAATATCCACACTCCTGCTGGATGCAAATAACCTTACTTAAAAAAAATATGTCTAAGCGAGAAAGAAAGAATAGAATGAGCTGGAAGTAAATGGATAACAGAAAATTAAAATATTTCTGGAGTGAAAAGTGTGACTAAGGTAGAGTGAGAAAGTGCTGATTTTGTGGAAGAAGGACGAGAACTGATGAATGAATCCTCTACTGTCAAATGAATGTGAAAAATGACATGGTAAGAATACATTGAGAATGGAAATGGCATATTAAGAGGTGATCGAGGAGAGACCATGGGAGAGAAATTGACGGAAATGGAAATATAGGAAAGTATCACTCAGGTGAGGTGATGAAGGAAACAGAAATATATTTGGGTGGAAGATAGGTATCTAAGTGAATGGAAGGGAGTGCCAGAGACATGGCAGAAAAAATAGAAACATATATGCCCGACTAGACTATTCCAAAGCTTCTGTCGAATAATTGGGTAGAATTGATGGCTCTGACATGAAATCATACATGATAGTTTTATAGGAAGCATAGCAGAGTTCAACCTAGGTCCATAAAGAAGATGGGGATAAGGGAAGTCTGAAAGTGTAGAGTAAATTATGGATTGGTATTTATAGTGGAGAGAACTAGATAGAGAGAACAAAAAAGTTATGTTGGTTGAGAAGCAACAATGGATGGATCATCTTCGATATTGAGTATACAGAGTGAGTGGTGAGATACGAAAGAAATGGGTGAGAAACTCGTCCCTAGAGCTGTCTGTTATCGAATGTGCGAAATTCAATTCAAATAAAGTTTAGAATATACCGGGTGAACAATAAAACGAGATGACAATATATACAGAAAAACATCACATATTTTCTTTCAAAGTCCTAATACTAAAACAATGAGTGGGAAAAAACTGAACATAACGAGCAATACTAACACATTACCTAATAAAGAGGAGTATATATCATTAAAACAATATTTCATGTATTTTGAGTCTCGTAAAATATTTCATCACAGCAACTTCCTTCATATTCTATTTTTCTGTATTGTTTCAGGTTTCAACAACTGATTTCCAAATCACATTCTCAAAAGTGAAGATGAGTATATTTTCTACATATCAATATCAAAGATTTTTCACCCTTCTTCTTCCTAGCAGGTCAATGAATTATTCACTTCATCATGCAGCAATGAAATTCATAAGAAGAGATCGACTAAATGGTTTCGATGGCAAACAATAGAAAATTTCAAATATCTCAATCTAAAAGGAATATAACTGGTTTCATTCACTTCCTGCACTTCCTATAATAGAGTTATTGAAAATAGTCGTCAACAAATCTCCAAATTACAACACTGAACAGTGCTTTTGACATAGGAAGTAACTTCTGACAAAGTGGCAAATATGTATTTATTGAGCGAAACATTGAACACAGATCAACTAATTGCTCATAAAACGTATAAATGTTTACATATTCTCTTGTGAAATAAAAAACAAAAAAAAACAGTTTGTCACCTTGTCTTTTAATGAGAATGTAAAACTTATGCATTTTATTATCTCTTCAGCAGATTATTTTCTGGTATGTATTTTGTAGCACTGATTTCAACCTTATTTATCTGACATTGAGTATCTAATACTGTCAAAAACAATTAATGCGTTTCACAATAATTCAAGCAACGGTTAATTGTGTTACGCCACCTACAGCGTACTTATATGAATTTCATGAATCTGAAGTCATTTTCCCAATCAATGATAACTATGAATGACCTCTCCAAACACCATTGAATAGCGGAAAATTGTTTCAAAGTTTTTATGCTGTTCAATCTCCAGAAATATCAAGAAATTTTATTTTTTTTATATTTTCATCAATATCTTCAAGAAGACTGATTTCATTAATAATTTACTGAACGTATTGACAGGTAGTTTGTTCGGTTGTGGACGTATTCCGTGATATTTCTTCTTTTTCCGAATCTGTCAGCGCACATACAAATCTGTTAAGAAATTCACGATATTTTGAGATACTATCAAAGCATGACAGTTTTTATAGAATCAATCGCATATCTAAATTATTATCTCTAGATGAAAAGTCCATCTACTTTCAACTGGAGTGAAATAATTTAACTGTAGTTTTTATCACATCTTGCACACACATAACATACATACAAATATTAATAATGTTTCAGATCTTATACGTTAACACCTTTTCGAAATCAGTTTCGACTCTAAAAATTAAAACTGAAAGAAAAAATAAAAAGCTCTTATGTACATAACAAAATCAGTAAACATAGATTTTTCAAAAACACACCAATCATCATAGTATACTTATATTATAATCAGGAATGATATGTTTATATTATACAATTGTGGATATACCCTAACACAATTTATTTAATCAAGATTAATGCAATGAAAAAAGTTTCAACAACCCAAGCCAAGCAACAACAAGAATAGTAAAATTACATATGTTGGAAAACAGAGATTCTTTTTTCAGTAACCCCTGCCTTTTTTGCTTTTACCAATTCATAAATATATATGTGAGTTTGCATTTTATTCATTTCATTCATAAGACATGAGGATTATGGAAATCAGCAAAGAATAGTTACATCAAGAAATGAATAAATTGCCTCTCAGGGATTTTTAACTTCCGTAATTATAAAAGGTGAAAAACATTTATTGGAAAACTTTATACAGGTGTAGAAAATGAAAACTACTAGTTCACCCCGTGAATCCAATATACTCTTCTTCCTAACTATTCATGGGTACTCATCCGAATGTTTTCAAGACCGTTCCATTTCATAAATCAAATTTGGTAATGAACCAATGAATTTTCAGAGGAGATAAAAGAGATTTAGATATTTGGTACGTTAATATATGAACTTATGAAATACTCAGCCTCATTTTTGATACGGAATAGCATTGTATCCAATATAACACGTATACATTAATGAGTCATATGAAACAATGTATTTGTCTGTGTTATTTTTCTGAATATATTTCACAATTTCTAATGAAATACCCATCGAATAATCTTCATAGCTTGTGATCATAATCAGACATTTTTTTGTAATGGTTCAGTTGAATTCGTAGGTGATGAAAATTCCATGAATATATCTAGTTTCCTTAGAGAGATACTAGAATATATCTGTAGTATCTCGACCGTGCTAGGAATCGCACCTCAAAAAGTAAGACCCCGTTAATCATTATCTCGCGAAAGTTTACACTTTTGAGGGTTGTCTTTCGTAGGTGGGCGACAGCTGACTAACGTAAACTGAGATTTCAACAGCTTTTTTTAACAAACGAACGAATGAATAGACAATAGGAATTTGAAATGAGACCGTAAAAATTGTAGACTCAAGAATGGCAACCATACGGTATTTAATTTCGAAAGTGATTCATTTGAGAAAACATACACCGCTGTTTTTATTTTCATTAAAAAATCAGGATTTTGAGCCGGTTCTATATTTGTTAAGACATATCCACAGGCGCAAAGTTATTAAATTTTTCAAAAATACATAGTCCGAAATAGTCCGATCATGAAAAATCAATTCATGAATCGCAAATGCCTATATTTTACTAGTCTAAAATTTTTGAAAATATTTTAACTACTCTATAAACATTTAACATTACTTTCAACTAGACAGAACATTGAATATATGAAAAAATTAAGTTTGTCTTTCCAATATTATCATTGGAGACTTAACAAAGAACAAGACTTAGTCACGTTATTCTTTCAAATCTTTGGTAACAAGTGCCAGAAAGTACTACTTTCACGAGGATTGAAAACAATTGGTAGATCGAAAATAGACTTCAGGATAACATCTAACAGCTTACAAGTATGTACTTAAAACTATAAATAACAGTGAAATCATCAAGATCAGTTTCTATTGAGTTAAAATTAAAAAAATAAAACTAGAATTTTCATTGAAACTAATACTGATGATTCGTATGAGTCACAACAATTTAGCCTTTTGAAGACTCACATTTCATGCTCAGTTTTAAACTATGTAATATACATAGAACAAAAATATCACAACAGATAAACATATTCTCTCATCAGTCCTTTTTCAATATTTTTACAAGTTGAATAAATCGAGAGAATATATTGAAAACCTCATTTTTTATAAGCTAAAATCCAAACTCAACTCTGAACAAATGAATGGGACGAACAGGAACAACATTACAGAAAATGGCATTTTCTACTGGGCTGAGTTTTTCAATAGACAAATATTTAGACTTATTAAAGTCATTGTTTTAATAATGAAGTGCCTCGTAAGCCTTTCTAATTGACAAAATATTGACATTCCGTTCAACATTAAGACTAGCGTCGAAATATAGTTTTGTGCAGGTGATTTTACAGTTCTGCAAAGTATCATGTACATCTGAGAGAATCATCCGACACACATCCATTTCTCGTGCAGACTCTGAATTGTCCAGTATTTTCAATTACCTGCAATGAAAAAAATCACGTAAAAATTCTCTCCTAAAAATATACCCCTTCCAATGTGAACAAGGTAGTCTGTAGTGTTCGTCGAATATCGCGTTCAACCACGTAGCGATATACGAGTACAGTAGTGATTTACTGCATAGTATTGGTATAAATAAAAGGTCAACAAACAAGATTTGAAAGAACTGGTGATGTCAATCACGAGAAGTTCTAACATGTCTGCGCTTTAACAAATGAAGAGAATACATTTCAAACTGCTCTTCACCTTGTTGAAAATCCCCATGTGAGTACCCGTGACCTGAACACGGAATTAGGATTTTCTCAAACCAGCGTGTCTCGAATGATACGAGCAAGCAAATGTCATCCCTATCACATGCAATCGATGCAAGAGTTAAGAGGAAGAGATTTTGGAAAATGTGTTCAATTTTGCCGATGAGGCTTAGAAAAGATCAATCAGGAAAATAATTTTTCCGGTTTCGTGTTATTTTCTGATGAAGAGACTTTTCATGAAAATGGAACTGTCAATCGGTATAACATGCATTATTATGCAACGGAAAACCCCCATTTTGTTCGTTGCCTGAACCATCAACAGTGTTGGTCACTGAATATTTGGGGAGAAATTCTCGAAAAGAGAGTTATCGGTCCGTATTTTTGGGATAAGCATCTCACTGGAAGAGAATATGTAAGATTTCTTCGGCATGAGTTTTAGAATTTATTGGATGGGGTTCCATATGGAACAAGACTTAGAATGTGGTTACAACAAGAGGGTGCACCACCACATTTTAAAACTGAGGTACGGGAATAGCTCAACGATCATTTCAATCAAAACAGGATAGGTAGGCGTGCGTGGCCACCGAGATCACCTGACCTGACCAAAATGGGGTTTTTTATAGGGGTATATCAAATGGATTGTCTACTAAACTCCTCCAACATCTATGGAAGACATGAAACTAAGAATCACTAGAACTTTCAGGGAAATCCCAGAGGATATGCTGGAACGTGTAGTGAGTTCATTTAAAAAAAGACTTACATTATGAGTTGCAGAAAATGGTCGCTATTTTGAATATCTTTTGGACTCCTCTATTCAATAAAAAAACATATGCGTGTTGTTCATATTGAAAAAATTTTGAGTAAGCGAACGTAAATAAATGAATTTTTTGTGTTTACAACAATTAATAAAACTGGGTATAATTTGTGAAATATCTGTATTCGTAAAGTATACCACTCATAAAAAATTAGTGAAACATTTCATACAGATGAAAAAATACGGGGTGTTCCATTTAAAAACGTAGAATTATGTCTGTTTGAAAATGAATGAAACTTGACCGGTTTTACCGAGCACCCTATATATTGTTTCCAAGAGTTGAGATACCACAAATTATCATAGTGATGTTGACTAACTATTCCTGAAAAAATCCACTTAATTGCTGTAAACATGCGGGTGGTGAATTAAAAAATATTGTCTGCAAAATAGGTTTTTCCAGAATGAATTGGCAATGCCGCAATGGAAATTCGGAAATATAATTCCTTAGAGAGCTGAAAAAATATGGAATCGAATGACTTATTCATATACTGGGTGTTCTATTTAAAAATATAACTTTGGTTGGCCACGCTCGGCTGAATCACCCAGTATGCGAGAAAATAATTTTTAAAGATAGTATTCATCGATATGACTGCGAAAAAAAATTGAGCAATTCGTAAAATTGTTTTTCCTGATAACAATGGACGGAGGAAAACTTGTTGACTCACTCTGTATAAGGGTTATTTTCAGCTTTCCTTTTTAATTTTTGATTTGTATTGGTTATTTTAGGGATTTCAAATCATTTTATATGATATTGGACAATGGAGGTCCAAACTTATGAAATTCATCATGAAACATTGTCAATCACCTTCAAACAAACCTCAAACAAACCAACATTTATCTCTCCCAGCTTTCCAGACTGATTGCGTATCCAATGAGGTGGATTGCTTTTTTGTATAGAATAGAGCTACCTCAGGGTGTACTACGAACGAACTTTGTGTATATAGGGTCTTCCATCAGGGACTTCTGAACTTTGATAATTGACAACGGCATGATACGAATCATGCCGTTATCGGCATGATACGAATCATCATCTGTCAAATCAGTTGTTATTTATTCACTATGATTTACCAAATCACCGTGGACGGATATATCACTCAACAACACGTGCAAATAATAAAATTGTTTTATCGAAATAGCTGTTCTGTTTGGACAACATACCGCGCGCTTCGGTCATTTCACGTTCGCTATGATAGCCCTACCGAAAGTCCTATTTGCACTGTGGTGGATGAATTTGAGTCTATTGGTTCAGTAAAAGATCGACCAAACCTGGATGTCGACGAAACGCAAAATCTGCCAATCGCCGCTGTCTGTGAGAGTGTGCAGGGGAATCAGAGGCAGTCGAGTCAGAGGCGTTCACGTGTGTTCGCTAAATGGGCTGTGGGACAGTTGGCAACTGGTTTTAATTTTCATCGAGAACTTCTCTTCAGCGATGAGGCTCTTTCTGGATGAAAAGGTAAGTGAATAAAGAAAATTGTCGATTTTGGGACAATACCAATCCACATGAGATTCAAAAGCGTCCAATGCATCCCAAAAGAGTCACTGTTTGGTGTGGATTTTGGGCTGACGGCTTCATCGGTCCATATTTCTTTGAGAACGACAGGCTATCACATGTGGTTTCAACATGACGGCGCTAGGTGCCACACAGCTGATGCCGCATTGGATATTGTGCATGTGCGATTTGAGGGCATGGTCATCTCATGTGTAAGTGATGTGAACTGGCCACCCAGATCGTGCGATTTGACCCAGTTAAACTTTTCCTTGAGAGGCCGCAGGTGTATGCGAATAAGCCACAAATCACAGAGGTCTCTATAGCCAACATAACCTATGCCATCGGTCAAATTCAGCCTGATTTATGTACAAGAGTCATTGAAAATATTTCGATATTTTACACACGCTTTGTTCCATTCAAATTTGAAGATGAGAAGCGCCTGATAAAATACCCTATACAAGCGTAAGTTGATGAAATGTGATGATTTCCAACACCAAAGATCAACATGAAGAACTTTGACTACAGATATACCACAGGTTTATTGAAAATTGCTGAAAATTTTTGGACGGTATGTTTGCTGTTGGTGGTGTACTGGACTACGTTTTGAATATAATGGTTTTGCATGCAGCTTTAAGGTAGTTTGGGTCATCTGTCTTGTTCAGACTGCTGATCTTTTCAATTTTAATTGTCTTTCTCACCATTCTAGTTTCTGGTGCTGTATACTGATGATTTTTTTGCTGCTTTTGAATTCGATTTTATGACCTAGGTATATCAAGGTGGTGTTGTTTGTTTGTTGAGGAACCACGACCTCGCACTTTGTAAATAATACACAACCTTTGCCTTATATATACACCATAACAGCTTCAAAAGCTGATAACAAATCGCCAGTATACAGCACCAGAAACCAGAATGGTGGGGAAGACAATTGAAATTGAAAAGATCAGCAGTCTGAACAAGACAGATGACCCAAACTACCTCTTATATAACCTCTTATATAACTCTTATAACTCTTATATAACCTCTAGAAAGGTTAATGCAGTCAAAAAAAATGTTATGCAATCGAGAACGGTTAATGCAGTCAAGCTGCTGGAACATTATTCCATTACATTACGATGTAATGAGTTAGTATTTCGAACATACTATTGTGAGGAATAAGGAAATGAATTGATTCACCTAGCTGTTTTACCTGACATGTTTTACAAGAATATTTACAATGCATCTTAAATTGTTTTCAATTATGGAAACATTTGGAGTCATGGTCGACCATCGTCAGCAACAAGTACAATACCTAAGAGGACTTTCCGCCTGAGTGTTATACACGATGAGCCTATAGTTTTGTTCTGAAAGTGATAATGAAATCTTTAGTAGATAAGAGCTTGAATGAGGCGTTGAGAATAACCTCATGTAATAAACTTTCCATTCCAGTGTTCGACAATATTCATTCCAAACATTTTTCATGAGAAATAGAACTTGAAACAAAGATATTATCAACGACTGTTACGGATTCATGACATCGCAGTCACTGGGAATTAGCTGTACCAAGGATTTAGGCTTCCCAAGGCCGTCTGTTGCAAAGCCGACATCGACCGCCGAATGAGATCCGTCCTCTGTCTTTCCAACTAGAGCCCAAAAAACAAAGCATTCGTGATCCAACACCAGACATGTTTCGGCTCGCCTATTTCTCATCAGTGGCTCAGTGGCGCTTGGTTAAAACACAAAATGATGCTGTCTGATCAGATTCCAGATTGTTGGCATTTTGAAGATTCATACCTGTCTTTACAATATCTGAACTTTTTAGACCGTTCTTAAACTTACTGCATTGTTTGAATTTGCAATACTAGGCTGTAGAACTGAAAAAAAATCGTTCAGTGTGCACTTTCAGTTGACTATAGGTATATGCAGTCTGGCCAAGAAACCTGACATGAAAAGTGTATGGACACAGTTGGAAATAATGCAACAATTGTAATGATAGAGAAACAATGAAGACTAACAGAGATATGTTATCTATCTATCTATCCAATAGTGGAGAAATTGAGGAGAAACAGAAAAGGGGTGTGATTTATCAACTATTTACATCATTGAGTTAGGTATACTTGAGTAATGACTACTTCGTTATGTGAAAAGAATTTTCAACTAATGTACCAAGTATTAAACATAAGTATTCAACTCACCTCAGTTAATGAGGAGTTCACAGAAGCACTACATTATCCAATGGTTCTGCGTTTGCACCGGTACAAGAACTTCTTGATGGAGTATTGGGTCCAACCCGCTGCATCAGAATAGTTTCAGCTCCTTCAGAGTTGGCTGGAACACAACATATCTATTTTTTGTTGGTATCGGAATTAGTCACGGCATCAAGCTTGAATGATATGAAGTTGCATGAACTCTTATGTCAGACATATTCCAGAATTTCAGGTTCAATCGAAAAAGTTTGTTAGTCAGTCATTAACTCATTTCATTATTGTCGATAGCACATCATGAAACTTTGAGGTGTCAGAAGTGCAAAATCCGTTTAGAAACATTAGTAATATAAAGTGATCGCACTGAAGAGTAAGTACCCTACTGTTCAACAGTAATTTATTACATCTGTAAATGAATACCACATACTTAGAAAACCGTGTTCCATCTCACACTGTGAGCATGACTAAATAATTACCATAAGACAGTGACTTTTTTCTTCTGGAAGGTCCTATATTTTCATCAAAATAGGCAAACTTCCTGTTATCGTGAACCAAGCAATATATTTATCAAATGAAAATTGATATAATTGGTATTGTTTTTTTCCAATTATTTTGCGTAGAAGCAGTGGCGGCTTTTTGGATGGAGGGGTTAATCACGCTCCTGGACTGAATATCCACTGAGACACAGAAAAAACAATGTAGATATGGATTTGGTGTCAAAGGCGAAGGTAGCACTGTTGCTGGCCTGACGCATTTACGGAAATGTATGGGGGCTCATACCAGACATGACGTCTTGGTTCTATACTATGGTGATTAAACCTATGATAACATATGCATCTATGGTCTGGAAGTCAAATATGAAACTAACAAGTGCTATTAACAGAATAAGCACGGTGCAAAGACTTGTATGTTCGGAAATAACGGGAGCAATGAAAACCACTCACAGAGTTGCATTGAAGACATAACTGAATCTTCCCTCCTCACATCTTGTAATGATGAGGGAATCAAGGGTAGGCCAATTCAGACTAGAAAACCGAAATTTCTGAATGTGTGGAGAAACGAACATCAAATAATTTCTCGAATTAAATAACACTGGAATAAATTTTCGATACAAACTTCGAGGTTGAAGTCTTCAATCTCAAAGAATGGAGAATGAACAGTCATCACAAGAATTTGCTCGGCAAAAATATCAATTGTACCCGACGGGTCGAAAACCGAACAAGCTGGAATTCACTGTGAGGGGAAAAATCTTCATTTCAGTTACCCAATCGGTCAGTATACTTCAGTTTCACAGGCCGTATGTACAAAATTTCGCAATACACAAAAAAGTAATTGGAAGCCTCAAAGAAATGAGTGGATCAATATTTTCACAGAAAGCTAAGCTTTCACAAATGTAATATCAATACTGCTTTGAGAATGCTTTGAAAAACTGTGGAAGCTGGTGAACAGGAATGGATTGACTATCTACTGGGTGCCACGATGCTTGATTATCGCAAGCGATAAATAACTGATGTCTATGACAGTCACTTATCATCAGTTCCATATATAGGCCATGAACCAGCTGTAGGGATACCGAAATCTTCGGAACGGAACCAGATGTGAAAGTGAGTTTAGGAGAAACATAAAGAGCACTGGGGTGACAATAAACCTGTCATCCACCCTGTAGCGCGAGGTAGGTCCGTGTTGAAAGAAAATATGACTCTTGAGCCCACAAATGTTACCGTCTCCTTGAAGAGAGGTGATGTGGGGGTCTACCGTGAATGACTTTTTCTATTAGATACTTCTGGGATCATGATGTGATCAAAAAATCTGATCCTGAGTCTATGGAACTAAAATTAATCGTGTATCTGTATCTGTAGTATCGGATCAATTTCCCAATTCTTGATCCTGATAACAAACCTAAGAACCTATGTGGTGTAATTAGAAATGGATTTATTGCTCATGGATCTTCTTTGCAAATTCTCGAGAAGGAGAAGCAGAATCTGTATCAGGAGAGGACAAGGAATGGAAACCAGAGACAAAAATGTCTGTATGACTGAACCTAATGTATCATCAGGTATAGCTGGATTTATTCAGTCAAGTTTCATAGGTGTGAACCACAATAAACTCCCGCAGGTTGCAGTGGAGGGTCGAATAGACCTACTCATTTTAGACTCACCTACCTACCTAGGTCTGATGGATGAAAAGATCTGTAATACTATTTCTGAACTATCTCCTGTCAAGAAATTTGTTTCAAATTCCATGATCCATGAACATGTACTTCTGAAATAACTGAGGTAACTTCATCAGGTATGAAAATATATAGTGCTTTTTCAAAAATTTGACCATTTAATGATGAAAAATGATTCGAGAGTAGTTGTTGAGTAATAAGTTTTCAGTGATAAGGTGAATGTGGTGAAACCAGACACCATAATGTCAGTTCACAAAATTTCGCAACTTGCTCCGATCAATCTGTACGGTGTCAAATTGATCAGCAATATGTCTTGACATAATCACACTACAAGAATAGCAGAGGAAGCTTCTCAGAGACTTTTTAGAATTCGTTAGTTGTACACAGCAAAATATTTTGTAGATCTCAAATTTGACCTGGAACATCGAAGGAAGTTTGGGTATTGTCTTTCTTCTATAGTGCGGACGTGAAAAGTTTTCTGCCACTCAACTTTTGAACAGAAGGAAACATATAGGACGGAGAAAATTTTGGTAGATATGTATCATTTCAGTACGTTTGGTAAGAAAGACAATAGTGTTACATCACATGTCGCTTTGTTTGACAGATATTTCAAATCTCTATACGACACTTTTCAACTTTTGAAAATCAGATCAGCTGTTTCTGGATGATAAGCAGTTTCATAATTGCTTGAAGTATCTGAAAACAAACTATCAATATCAAGATTTAAAAAAACAATTTTTGAAATTCATATCACCAGAAATGAATGTTGAAAATATCCCCCTCACTTCCTGACAATAATCCTCACAAACTCATTTCTCACATTATGAAATATTTCTGGGGTAATTTCAATGCAATCACCTTTTTTTTTTCGACGATATCTGAAATGACCTGCGGTTGCGTATCGTACATTTGTATCCCCTCGAAAATATGTAGCGGTGTTATATTCGGTGATAGTAGCTTTCATTAGAGACCACATTTGTCTATCTGCCGGTTCAGATAATCATCATCTACTCACTTTCGAACCTTTCGTAATGAGGAGGTACCTCAACTTGCTGAAACGTAACATCACTTGAAAATCCACTTGGATTTGTCAATTATTGAATTCGGTAGGTTTATCAGATTGGCCTATCAGATTGGTCTATAGGATTGGCTCGCTGGATCACCTGATATGATCCCTGTAAATGTTTTTGAGGGGATATGAGATATTTGACTCTGCGATATACAACTGCAGTTCCTTAAAAAAAGAACAAAAGGTGCTCGCAATGAAATTACCCCAGGAATATTTCATGATGTAACAAATGAATTTTTGAATAGACTTCATTATTTTTAGAAAGTAAAATTGTGAAATTTTTGAACATTTATCGCGAAGAACTGGAGTAGAGTTTCAATAATTTTTTTGCTATGATCTTAAAGATCAAGAAGAAGATTAAACTTTAATCTTCTTCATGAAGATGATGACTTGGTGATTAAAACACGCATGGAGGTGATAAAATAACCGTTTGGTGTTGGGAAAAAACCCCAATAATATTTATTAATACACCAAAGGTTCCAAACAGTGCATCACAAGTATGACATTTATGGTTTGTTCTTATAAAATTCAAACGGATATGAAACTGTTTATTATTAGGAATGGCTGATCCAAAATATTAGTTCACGATAGGTGATGTAAAATAGTAAAATGATACCTAAAATATGACAGAACTGATTACTCAGAGTAATAAGCGTCAGGAGTTCAAGGCCGAATACATCTGTCCATTGTTTGAGGTTCAACTCAATACATATCGAACTACACTTTCAGAATTATTTTTGAATTGATATAGACTGTTTTATATTCAACGTAAATCGCTACTTCGATATGGGCACCGCTCTCAGAGAGTTTTGAAACTTTTTTGTTCAAGCAAAACTGCATCAACCACGAATGGTTGTTAGCGGGGTGAATTACAATGTCATATGTATATAAATACATGAATATTTGATTGAATACATTGATTTTCTTAATAAATTGTATAGTTTTCTCAACATTGTCATTCAATGTAAGCCAGTAGATTTCGTTCTTCATGGTAGAGCAAAGACATACGACGTGTTTTACTTTCAGCGGTGTATTGCAGAGGTCACATGATTTGGGAGTTTGATTCTTCTTACGCACTACAGTTATCATGACTTGATCTTGTATAGTTCTGTGATCAGTTTGGAATTAATTTTGAATAGTTTATTCTTAGTTAGCTCTTGCCACTCTTCTGTCCAAACCTGCGATATTATCATTCTAATTGAACTGTATAGATCTTCATGATATATTTATCGCTTCGGGGTACTCAAAGGAGTTACGTGACACGAAATCTGCATTTTCGTTACCAAGAATATGTTCAGAAAAATCCTGATACATGTCGATTTGCCCTTTTCAGGTTCCAGTGAAACAAAACCCACGGATATAGCCAGGAACTGACATTTCACAAAGATAATCAAGGAGGAAGGAAAAATGAAAGAAAACAACTGAAAGCTCCTTCCTTTCAGGGATATAAGAAAAATATTTCCAAAGATAACTTCCAGAGTCTCAAGAGGTTAAATAATTTTGTTTCGAAGATTGTAACAAAACGTCGAGGATTTTATAGGATTTGCCCTCGATGTCAACGCAAACGAAACAAATACGGTTGCACGTGTATATACAGGAGATCCCATCGAATATTTCAGCAAGGTTTATGGTTTCGTATATAAAAATGAAATATTTGGAACAGATTACTTTTGAGGAGGACACATTTACACATTTAGGCAGTCCATCACTATAACTTCAACCCGTTAGTGGGAGCAATATTTACCCGTATTCTTCTGAAAGGGTACCTATTGAATTTACTTTGAAATGAGCTGCGAATTCCCGAGAATTTGAATCAAGTTTTGTTGAGTAGTATATATATTATTTGTCGAAAATTTTTCGGTTCCATGAATCTTTCAGCTGAGTTGCACAAATTTTCAATTTTACATATTCCCACAGAAGAAAAAGAGATTATACATCATTTTATCTCGGCAGCCATTCGATAACACTCACCAAAAGTTTCATTGAGAAACCGCCTAACAGGTAATGCGTTAATTATTTCAATAATTTTCCTTTCAATCATAATGAGGAATTTAATTTTAGTTGAACAAACTTTATAGAACTGTGTGATGCGATTTTGATTTAGATCAAGGGTTTGATGAAACGAAAGGTGCTTGTTCTGAATTTTATTCAATTCGGCATAAAACTCTTCAACTTATGTTCTTGTTTAATCTTTCTCTTGAAGACGATCACTTGGTGATTGAAACACGTGTCGAGGTGTTAAAAATAACGGTTTGGTGTTGGGATAAACCTTCAACAATATTAATTACGACGTCAAAAAAAATCTGTTTAAAATCTGTTTAACCGTTAAGCAACTGTCGTACCCTTACGAACGACAACCCTCAGAAGTCGAAACTTGTGAAACCAGAGGACTAACGAGGTCTTACCTTCTCATGTGTGATTCCTAACACGGGTTGGATGAAAGCAAGTGAAAATCGATCGTTCAGCCTGGGGCTTAAACCACTGACCAACACGGCGGTCAATTTGAGTGAGTGAACAAATCACCCACGTCGAACCGACCGGCTACCGACCGACCAAAGGTTCCAAACAGAGTATGACAAAACAATCATATCAACAAAGTGGTCTGGATAGAGTCTGAAGAGTTCGAAGACAGATTCTCGATACTTCATCCATTTCTCATTTTCTATTTCCACAATGAATATCGACTTACTTCAATGGTCGTAGACTACATCAGGCTTATTTGTTTTATCAGCCTGAGGGTAGAGAATGGATAGTTGCAATAGATTTGGCAGTTTCCATTTCCCACAAAAGATTCAATATTCTTCAATATCACCAATATTTCATCAATCCTGTAGGGGTGACGAAGATGATAATATTGTTTCACCTTGAAGATTGTACTGAACCATACTATCGAAACCAAGATACATTCGGAGGGCGCGCCAGCATCATCAACAAATGATCACTCCCCACATTGTGAGGGAAGTGATCATCGGGTCCGAAACTCATGTGCCGTAAGCAGACGCAATGAGCCAAGAATGATAGCTTTGCGCTGGTCGTGTCCTGTCTACGAAGGTCTGATACATTCGGAAGAGTTCGCCAGCATCATCAACCAATGACCACTCCTCACACCGTGACGAAAGTGATCATTGGTTTCGAAAATATTATGCCATGCGTAGACACAATAAATGGATGACCAATAACCACTCTCCATACCGTGAGGTGAGTGATCATTGGGACCAGATTGATCTTCGAAATTTCATTGCTCGACAAATTTTGAAAACGAAGAGACATTGGCTTCATCGAGTGAAATTTGAGAAAACATGAAAAATAAATCAAATTTCTACTGGATTGAACAAAAAAGTATTCAGGAACGATACTGAAATGTATTCTAATTTGATACTCACCCTTATGAGCAGTTGATGGAACAGCGCCAGTTGATGTTGGAACAGATCCGGAATTGTACTTTTTGTATGCGGCGCTGTTCATAGTCAGCTTTCGAACGTTTTTGTCGGGATGAAGGACTATTATGTAGACCTTGGGCGAATAGAGACAAACCAGAGCTACGGTGGCGTTCATGCTTGTGGCTACGCAGAGTGTGGTGAGTTGAGTCTGCAACAATGTAAAATTTTAAAATATTTTGTAATGCTTCGATACCAATTCAAACAATATTTCCTATTGTAGTTGATACAGACCGTTTGTCTCATTCTTTCAGCTTATGATGCACTGTTTAGAACCTTTGGTGTAATAATAAATATTACTGGAGTTTTTGAAACTGTTATAGTTTTAATCTTCCTCTTGGAAGATGATCACTTGGTGATCGAAACACGTGTTGAGGTGTTAAAAATAACGATTTGGTGTTGGGAAAAACCCCAGTAATATTCATTCTTTCAGATTCGAATTTGTTCGTGCATAAATTACTTGCCACTGTTTTTTTTTGCATTGTCTGCAGCAGAAATACCTTCAAAACTAGCCCCATTTTATAGTGCTACGAATGATTAGTGACGAATCAGGACACCTGAGCCAAATCTACTCAGTTGAAGTTCTTCCATTTTTCTCCAGACGATCCTATTGTATCGGGTGAAAAGACGTTACCCTCGGTAGGTTGTCTGGACCATAATGCATATGAATGACTAGGCTATTCGACTTAGATAACCTAGTCCAGGACAGATTCAAAACATTAAGCAGACAATGAAAGACGGACTATGGAAGATGGCAACAAAAACCTATCTAAATCGACTTTAGAGATAGGATCAAAATGAAGGTACTAGGGCCTCTACAATTCCGAGGTGAAGACATAACTTTTGTCACTTTTGTCATTATATGAAGCTTTGAAATTGACAATCAGAAGTCAAATATGCTCGAAAGTTTTGACGAATTTGTCAAATTTTAGATAATATTTTGTAATAATTATCAGGCTCTGCACGGGTGCAATGCTGACACTAAATATACAAATAAACTCGTGTTATTGCTGATAATCATAAAGTGCTATAGGGCGAAACGCGGCCTTCGACGTGCTATTCATAGACACTCTTCGCCGGCCCCCTGGCCAGTACCGCGGCAACCGCTATGTCCCTGCATTTCAAATCGGTGATATCGTGAAAGTGTTCATTTCAATAACATGCTGTAGAGGGCCATATTGATCTACATCAAATGTACAACGTATTGCACAATGCTGTATTGCTAAACATCGTAAAAAGGCCATCATTTCTCGAGGATAAAAAATGTTTATTGTGTGTAATCCCTAAGAGAAATATACCATCGCAGACTTTTTGTGGACCTTATTGAGGTGTACAATATTGTAGCACATTTTTTAATCTATCTAGTAGGGTTCAGCCAGCGTTTGCAATGTATGCGGAAAAACTGTGCTTATTTACGACATCACATTAGAAATCTCTGAAATTATCAGTGTTCCTCTACTATATAATGCATTTCATATACATATAAGCCTTCCTCTTGAATCACTGTATCTATTACAAAACTTGCATTAAAATCCGTTGCGTAGTTTTGAAGATTTAAGCATACATAGGGACAGACAGCGGGAAGCAATTTTGTTTTATATTATACTAGCTATTACCCGCGGCTTCGCTCACATTTATGCCATTAAATAAGTGTCAGTACAATATAACTGAATCGATATGAGAACTATATTTTAATGCTTGGCTGGGATTATCAATTTTTTTAAATTATTACATACGATGAAGTTTCGAAAATTTAAAATATGCTTTATTGAATTAAAACAACAAATGTTAAAATATATTTCACTGTAACAAAAATAAATAATTTTCAATTCTTACAATTTAAAAAGATAAAATGAAGATTAATAATTTAGACTTAATGTTTTTGTAGACTATGTTATAAGTTTTTCCTAACCTAATGTAACCTAACATAACCTAACCTAACCTAACCTAAAATATCGCTGTGCTTGCTGTTGTCTTCTCGGCTCTGCGTGAACCGAAGACTCTTGATTTCGTGCAACTTTTGCTGCACGGGCTCGCGTTGAATTTTTGGATAAATCAGATCTTAGTTTCCAAGGCATTTTTAGACAAGAACAAAGTAAGACTTATAATCAGTGAGTAAGAAATAATTAAGTGGCATATAACCACAACTATGACACCTGACCTAAAAATAAAAATGACAGAAGAAAATAACAATAAATATAGAAAAATTCCAAAGAGCTGAAACTATAGTCAATTGGATGGATTGGATTGGATTGGATATTGTCGTGACTGTGAGTAATACAGTGCGACGGTATTACGGTACCAAGGGTTGGAACTTCATTACTGGAATGCTAGATGACATTAAAGTAGCTGGGTTTTGAGATTTTTCGATAAACAATTTTTTTAT